TTTTTTTTTTTAAAAGTTACTACAATCTAATAGCGCCAGTAGATAAAATATGTAGATTTCATATTATGCATACAGTATAAGCCAAGAAAGAATGCAAATGTTGTAGTTAAAAGAATGTAATAATGTAATTATAATACTTTAGTGGTACGTGTACGTATATATTATCATATTATACGTAAAATGCAAGTATCACTGGAGTCATTGATTAATATTTTGTTGGAGGCTGGTTGGTCGTTAGGTGATTTTCTTGGAATACAAGGATTCTTGGGCTTCTTTTTTCTTTTCCCCTTTTATTCAATTATTATTATTATTATTATTATTATTTGCTGGAATCCTTTTGGTTGGTAGTTTATCCTTTGTACCCCAGCCACTTTCCCCCAGAAAAATTAAGGAAAAAAAAAAGAACAAAGAAAAAAGAAAAAAAGAAAAAGAAAAAGTGCTTTTATCCATGGACCATCTGCTTCGACATTTCCCTGCATACTTTTTACCTTTGGCATCAAATTTCTGTTTGACAAATCAGTTGTGACTTGTGGTGTGCTACTTTCGGAAAGTGGAATGGGAAACCATTGACACTTTTTTTTTTCTTTCTTTTTTTTCTTTTTTGCTTTCTAGTTTAGTGTTGGTTTGGAATATCCTTTACTTCCACACTGGATAAAACACATGATCCATCCATATTATTCTTGTATCATCACCCGTACGTCAAACTACTACTGTTTTTTGTCTTCTAATTTTCCAAAATTTCCTTCCACCACGAGGATTAATTCTATGCCTTATCAATAAATTATTCTAGAAGTTTCATTTTATGCCTTATCAATAAATTATTCTAGAGAAGTTTCATTTTATGCCCTAACTACTTTAAACTCAATACTAATATTGATTTATAACCTTTTTTTTCCCCTTTAATAAAAAGGGATCCCAATCCCAAGGCCATTTAACAATTTACTATGACGATGGATGAAATAGAAAGAAATATGACTCACGATTTCGTCAACTAATATTTAGGAAGTCCAAAATCACCTCAAAATTATCCATATTATACAAACCGATAAAATTTTTGAGTTTGTCAGGTGAGATAGCCCTTCCTTCGCTGCTAAGAAGGTGTTTGGTATGATGATTTATACTCTGATTCGAATCATAGTTTGTAGTTCGTTACAGTATTTTCTCTCATAAAAAATACACGTAAACTGAGAATGACTTTGAATAATAGTTCTAAATCCGTGAACCAATTAGAATTAATAACCCTTAAAGTACTTGATAAAACAATACTTTCTCAATACTTTCTTGATCATTTTCGTGTACACATTTAAAACAACGGAGTAGATATATATAACAAGGGACTTCTGTTATACTGTTAAAGTTCCAAGAATAATTATATAAAATAATATATTTTACTCTTAAATATAATGAAAATGTTTGTGAATAAGTTTAAGATAATTAGTGTTAATTTTTAAGTTTAGGTCTAAACCAAATTTTTGTTTACCGTTTAGGAATTACCATGGATAAGATTTATAAGAAAATCACAAATAGTACTAGTCGTTATAAGAAAAATGAAAATCAAATACATATCATCAAAAACATGATCTTTTGAAGTCGGCACATATGTATACATAATGTTTGATCTCTTTTGGTTTTTGCTCGTTTACTCATTTTTTTTTCTTTTTTTTTTTCCAACAACATATAATAATATTAATCAAGAATATTAAACCGGTGTGCTTCCCTACATATATCTGAAGGAAGAAGTTGTGGATTAACTAATTAAACCGAATTTAACGAAGACAAGCCGAGTGTAAAGTAACAGTTGAACTTGTGATAAGATTAATTGATTATAGAACTGTAGTGGATTATCTCGTAGATAAGGTATGATGTAATGTAACTGGTAAGGATAATGTAGGTTTACTATGTAAAGATATAAGGATAATATTGTTTTTAGTACTAAATGGATATTGATGATGGAGTACAAATGAACGAATAAAATTTTAGTATGTTGATAAAGCAAATTTTGACTATTAAACTAATTAAGCTTTGACATTAAATTAACAAAATCAATAAATCCATCTATATGTTCATCAATAACAGGGAGACAATAATAAAACCAATTGCATATATATAACACTAACAATTACGAATCAATTCATCTATATAATAAGCAATAACTATAATTCTACAAAACTATCAATTCAATGACAAATAATAAATTCTAATGTCAAACCGTTTATATTTTCATCTCAATCAAAACAACAGAAAATGTAATATTAGGAATAAAATATTAAAAAAATATTGCAACAGTTAAGAATTAGACACTATAATTTTCTGCTATTGATGGTAATAAAATAAAAAAAAGAAACATGTAAAATAAACAAGATTAATTTATAACAAGTCATCCTTAATGTGAGAGCTTCGTATGGCCACTTTCAAATTTCAGAAATTTATTATAATGAAGAAGAAGCTTAGAAGAGAAATCATAACTCATACATCTCTAAGTCTCGCTGTGTTCACCTCCTCAAAACATGATGCCTCTTTTTATTAAAAACAAAAAAGAACTAAAAAAATAATTAGACTTCACGATTTAACAATAACAAGAGATGCAACTAGGTGTCAGATAGTTGAAAGTTTTTTTTCCCATTTTAGAACAAACTTCATCAATATTTATCGCACGTGATAATGTGAGAGCATCTCCATTTTTTGTGCTAAATTTATCATATGTTACACTTGCTGACAAATTTCTCACCAAATATAATACATGATAAATTTAGCATTTCATTATTATAAGTTAATATGTTTATTTTTTCATTTACACATTATAAAATTTTTATTTTCAAATTATGTTTGAATTAAAAGTTTACTTTTACAACTTTTAAAACCTAATGATAGTAGTAAACTGTAAATTTAGCATTTGAAAAGGCATAATAAATTAGAACACAAATAAATAAAAATAGCATATTAAATATTTTATTTTTACACTTTATAATATTATTAAATATGTCATTGACATTAGTATTTACATTGGAGATAAATTTAGCGCCTTAATTTTTATATGTTGCTAAATATCTTTAAACCATTTAGGTTCTTTATATAAAAACAATTTTTTTTTTTTTTGATATGATACTCGAATGTTAAATTTGTCTCGAAGCTTGCACATGATAAGAAGGGGAAGAAAAAGTTGTGTATCATATGCTAGATTCTTACAAAAATTTAAGGATACAATATTAGAATGAAAAAATTTAATTGAGCTAATGTAATGGTCGTTTCGGATATTTACAAATAAGATTGAGCTTATGTAATGGTCGCGGAGTCACAATTTTCAAGTACACAAGATTTGCATTTTTATGAATATTTATTTTTCATGTACAGAGAAAGAAACCGTATTTATCAAGCCTTAACCTCACAAAGAGATTTGTCAAAACAAAAAAAACAAAAAAAACAAAAAAAACAACAACAGAAGCTTACAAAAGGAACCAAAAGACAGAGTAAAATAGATGCATAAATCTGAAGACAAGTTGGTGTTTAAAAAATAATAATAATAATGTTAGTGACACCAATTCAAATTCTAATTTTTAAATACTAATTAATGTGGTATATGAATTGTCATATTTTTATTAACAAATGTAATTTTTTATTATTAATTAACATAACAATATTTTAAATATCTATTAATATAAAAACGATAACTCATATACTACACAATTAATATACAAAAATTTAAATTTGAGTTCCCATTCTAACATTATTAAAAAAAATATGTAGTCCAGTTAGAAACACCAAGAGCCGTGCACCAGAGTTTAGGCTTGTTTTTTTTCTTAAACGACAATACAAATATTTCAATAAAAAAAAAAATAGATTCATTTATGGGATTCCATTTATACCCCTGAGTGCCTCCTCATTTTATAATCTGAATTTCGATTTATAGTCCCTTATTATTTTGACAGATTGTGATGAAAAACTAACCAAAGGCTGAATTTTTTATATCACGTTAAAAAAAGTTATGGATAAAGCCGGTTTTAATTATTTTCTAGTATATCTGTCATATTATCACATTTCAATCAAAATAGGGATATTTATTTTTTTATACCTTATATTTTAGATTTATTAACAAATTATATTTTTGATTTTTGATTTTATCAAATATATTTATTTAAATTAGATTTAATAAACAAATTTACATTTTATCTCCGCCAACAATTAGTTTTGATCTTTACAATGGTCAAACTATTCTTAAGAAAATGAGGCTATAACTCTCAAAATTAGAAAAAAATAAATAAAAAGCACTCAAGAAAAAATCTTTTGATTGTATTTTGGCTTCTAAAGGTTTTTTTTCCCCTCCCTTATTTTTGTATTTTTAGACCAAGACTGAGGATTGACCGTAAAAGCGGATAAAGTTGCATATTAAATTTAATTTAAAATTATTTATTTGATGATATAAAAAAATTGAATTTATCGCATTAAAATAAACCTAAAAAGGTGAATATCCGAAAAAAAAAAACAAAAACAAAAAGGCGGGTGCTATTGCTCTGAGTGGTATGTCTAGTGGGGAGAAAAAAGAATACCGTACACCGTTGGAGGAGCCACATAAAGTGCAAATACAACTATTTTTTGAAAAAATATCAGTTTTTAGATTAAAAACGATATTCTCAAGGGGGGAAAAAAAAGGAGAGAGAAGAAAGAAAAATCTCTCTTTCCGTTATGAATTAATATTGCTTGTTTAAAATAAATAATAAATATTTATTAGTCATGGGATTTGTTGGAAAAAAAAATGTAAAAATAACTCTTTTAAAAAATTTTATTAGTAAAATAACTTTTTAAAAATTTTAATTTATAAAATGACATCTTTTTACAAAAAAAAATGAATAAATATTTTTTTTTATAAAAAATAAAAAAAATTTATTTTACTTATTTTACTTTGTTAAAAAATGTTCTAGCATATTGCCCTTCTCGGGGTTCCACAATTTCCTATTCCACAATTTCCTATATAAAAAGCCGCCAATAGCCTCTGCAAATCTCACTCCTTCATTGCATTTGCATTGCTTTCTTTTTGCATTTCAATATCTCTTTGATATTTCTCTCTCATTCTCGCCCTTCCACTGCTTGTTTTCTTTCTCTTTCGTTCCCGTATTAACTGCGAAAACAACGAAAGAAGAAAAACAACAAAAATTCTCATTCCATCTTAATTAATCTCTCATGATCTTTGCACCTCTTTTCTCTGACTTTTAGGAGAGAGAAGGAGACCATTTAACTTTTTTTTTTTTTTGCTTCCTTGTTTTCGTTCTAACGACAATTCTCCAGGAAAAAAAGAAGAGAAAGAAAGCTCCACAAGAAGTCCAAACTCAACAAATAACCATATTGTTGTTTCTCTGCTCTGTTGAGTGAAGAAATCGACACCAAAAAAAGGAAAAAGAAAAAAAAAAGAGGTTTATTACCATTCATTTTAGTCTGTATGTTCTTCTTTCTTTTGTTGGAGAATGGTGTTTGAAATATTGGCTTTTGTTTTGGGTGAAGAAAAATGAAGTACGTGTTGGTAACTGGAGGAGTGGTGAGCGGACTCGGGAAAGGAGTGACAGCCAGTAGCATTGGCCTTCTTCTCAAAGCTTGTGGACTTCGCGTTACTTCTATCAAAATTGGTCTCTTCTTCTTCTTCTTCTTCTAACCTTTTTCTGAAAGTCATTTTGCTTGAAAAATGAAAAAAAAAGGGAGAGAGAGAGAGAGTAGAGAGAGAAAGAGAGTTGAAAATAGGAAAAAAAAGAAGGAGAAACGTGAAGAAAAGGTTATGCTCTTTTGTTTTTAACGAAACTCATAAAAAGATCAGTTGTTGCAATTTTGAGTGGAAAGGAAAAACTGATTTGAAATTGCAGTACTATAATAATCAGATAAATGGTCTAGTTTTCAATGTTTCATTTTCCTTTTTTTTTTTTTGGTTTCTAAGCTGTTATTTAATTTTCATTTCAGATCCTTACTTAAACACCGATGCTGGAACCATGTCCCCTTTCGAGCATGGCGAAGTTTTTGTATTAGATGATGGCGGCGAGGTACACAAACTATCTCTCTGTTTTTTTTTTTTTTTTATGTCGTAAATTTTGGTGAGCTTTTGGGAAAGCCAAGAAATTTGATATTCACAGTAAATTTCTCCTCCTTTTTTTATGTTGGATTTTTGTGTTTGAATTGAAGGATGTTTCTTTTGGGATAAATCAGAAATGAATTAGTATGAAAAATTATCTCTACCTATATGGGAACTACATATCTTGTTGTCCTTTCTTAAACCAAATACAAAAGTCTAAAACTTCGTGTTTATGCCCTTTTAATAACTTTATTACAAAAGTATTAAGAAGAAAATGAATATGCGACAAACAAGGGAGCTTCAAAGAAACCAGCAAATACTGTGTGTCAAACATGACCTTTTTCTTTTTCATCTTTTTCATTTTTTTTTTTTTTTTGCTTATCCTCTTTTCTTTTCTTTTTGTTTTTGTGTTTTTTTTTTGGGTGTTTTTTTTAGGTGGACCTGGACCTTGGGAACTATGAGCGATTTCTAGATATCAAGCTGACCCGTGATAATAACATTACCACTGGAAAGATTTACCAGGCAAGTTGTGCCTTTCATTTCACGCCACTTTTTGTGTATTTTTATGTCTCAATGAACATTGATACTGAATCTTTTTTCTTTTTCCTTTTATGTTTTTTAATAATGCCTTTTGTTACAGTCCGTTATTGATAGGGAGAGAAAGGGAGACTATCTGGGAAAGACTGTACAGGTTTTTCTCTATCACCACAATATTCTCTGTTTCCTGTTCTTTGTACATATGCATACTATGTGGCGCCTTTTCTTCTAATGTTTTTCTTTTTTAATATGCAGGTTGTCCCTCACATCACAGATGCCATTCAAGAGTGGATTGAGCGGGCGGCGCAAATGCCGGTGGACGGAAAGCCAGGTCCAGCTGATGTTTGTGTCATAGAACTGGGTGGAACTATAGGTACACAGGACAACAATATTCATATCCCGCGGGACCGTGAAGTTTCCCTGTTTTGTTTTGGTTTCTAACTGCTTTCCTTGGATGCAGGCGACATCGAGTCCATGCCATTCATCGAGGCTTTAGGACAATTTTCGTACCGTGTAGGTAAGAAGACAGATTATTCTATTTCTACTTTATGTTACACTAGTGTGTTAATGATCACATTTTGTCGAATAATTATTGAACTCCTTTAAATTTTCTTTTTAGGAGCTGGCAACTTCTGCTTGATTCATGTCAGTCTTGTGCCTGTTCTGAATGTCGTCGGTGAACAGGTAATCTTGAGGAATTTATGGTTTCATACATATCATAAGGAGATTATTAAACCTCCATGTGCATCTTCCTTTCTCACCAGAACAAGGTACTTGGTTGGTCATTGTTCTAATGTTATGTTTGCCGTGTGCAGAAAACGAAACCGACCCAACACAGTGTACGGGGACTCAGATCTCTGGGTTTGATCCCACATCTCCTGGCTTGTCGCAGCACGACGGTTATCCTCTCTCCTCCTTTTCTCTCTATTAAAAACACAGATACACACTAGAGCACGCGCACATAAGCACATATGATTTGGCTAAGCTTAAGGTTCTTTACTTGCAGGCACTTGATGAGAATGTGAAGGTGAAGCTATCTCAGTTTTGCCATGTCCCGGTAAGTGATCATACAGAAAAATGAGTCCTACAAATTACTAGAAAGTTTTTCTCCATTTCTATCAGAGTTGCAGTATTTTACTTAACTGAAAATTTCCAATTATTCAGAGAGAGAATATCATCACTCTGTATGACGTTCCCAACATTTGGCACATTCCTTTGCTCTTACGGGTATTTTTTTCTCCACGACTTTTTGCACTCTTGTACTATTTTTGGCTATTATATGTACAAATGATTATTTCTTTTTCTTCTTGTCAATTAGGATCAAAAGGCTCATGAAGCAATATTCAAGGTTCTTAACCTTCAAAGGTTTGTCTAAAGAGCTTATTCAGTCTCGGTTTTTCTTTTTAAGTCACTACTGCCTATTGACAGTCTACACCATATGACATCATCCTTTTCAATCTCAAGCATCCTCTCACAATAACGTTCGATAATCTGCAGCATAGCTACAGAGCCTGACTTGGAGGAATGGACTTCTAGGGCAGAACTTGCCGATCTGCTGCATGAGCCGGTAGGTCTTATCTTCGAAGTAAAATCATTTTGTCTTTCGCTTGCCAGAAATACCGTCTCATCTCTTTTAATTAACAGGTTCGTATTGCTATGGTTGGGAAGTATACAGGCCTATCAGATTCCTACCTCTCTGTCCTGAAGGTGCACCGTCAACAGCCAAATGTTTCACATGCTTTGATGTCTACTTATAAAACTAAGTTCTCGCAATATTTTTTTGGCTCAGTTATATGTTTTTACATGTTAAGATTCTAAGAATAATACCTTGCATATGACGGCCTTTATAATTCAGTCTTGTGTCATATCCATGAAATTTCTGAGCTATAGACGAGTCCTCATTTTTTTGAGTATGGATGAGTCCAGATTTTGATTCAATGATTTTTCTTCATAGTATTGATTAGTAAGTGATGATAATATGAAGTATTTTCTGGTCTATGATAGCCTAATATATATATGTATATATATATTTTTGTAAACCTTCTATTTACTGAGAGCTCCTTAATCATTTTAGGATTTTGTCAGCACTGTTCTCTTCTATTCATGATCCTCCATTATTGTCTCCAGATTTTCTCACAGAAAAATTACTTTTTAGTAAATTTTTTGCTGAGGATACTTTTTAGTAATTAGAAGTCTCTACTTTAGGGGATTATCAGGGTAAAGAAGGATTAATGTTCCAATGACAATAGATTGATATTGATTAATACATCAGTTTTTATACTGTAGCTTACCTAGTAAGCTTTGAAGTCTTAAAGGTTCTTGCTAACTAAGTTTAGTTTCTCTTGGAAATCAAGTATGCATGTAATATAAATATACTTCGTGGACTTATTTCTATTATATATGTCTACATAAGTATTATGTGCATAGCTCGAAAGCAGAAACGAGAATGAGCTATAAGATATGAATCCATAATGTTTTGTGCAGGCTCTTTTGCATGCATCTGTTGCGCAACGTAAGAAGCTTTTTGTGGACTGGATTGCAGCTTGTGACTTAGAAGATGCAACTGCAAAAGAGGTTACTAATTTTCAGATTACACATCATTTACGTTTTTATCTTTCACGATGTTTCGTGTCTTGATGAAACATTGTTCATTTTAGCAGAATCCTGATGCTTACAAGGCTGCGTGGAAGTTATTGAAGGTTTGTGATTTCTTTGCTTTTATGGTCTTGGTTTTTCTGCATCCTATAATTGTGATCCTTATATAGCTTCAATAGATTTGTCCTTTGTTAAGTTGTTTGTCTCTGCCCATCTTCTGACTAGCCTGTCTTATCTTCAGGGCGCAGATGGTGTTCTTGTTCCGGGAGGGTTCGGTGACAGAGGAGTGCAAGGAAAGATTCTAGCAGCAAAGTATGCAAGAGAAAACCGAATTCCCTACCTTGGAATTTGCCTTGGAATGCAGATAGCAGTGATTGAGTTGGCACGATCCATTCTTGGTCTGAAAGATGCTAACAGCACTGAATTCGATCCTCAAACAAAGAATCCATGTGTTATATTTATGCCGGAGGTCAAGATTTTACGTGTTTTGATCCGTTCAATGTATGTTTGTTGGTCCTCTGCAATTCTCCTGTATGTGATCTTTTTTCCACTCAAACAGGGCTCCAAAACACATATGGGTGGCACCATGCGCCTTGGATCAAGGAGAACATTTTTTCAGACTATGGACTGCAAATCAGCTAAACTGTGAGCATTTAAATTCAGAAAATTTGTGTGCATTGCATGTAGATGTACTCTATTGCTGGTTGTTTGTATTGTTTGAATCTCCTGGGATTACCAAAAAAGATAAAGAAGCAGTCAGAGAAAGCAATTGGACAATTAGTAGCTATTTATACAGATTAAAATTTAGATAGGTACTAGTTTGAGGAAGGAGATGTCTAACCTTAATGGTTAATGTTTTGCATTTTGTGTTGCTTTAGATATGGAAATAAGACCTTTGTTGATGAGAGACACCGGCACAGATACGAGGTATGTAGTGTAAAATTGCATATGGATTTCTGTGGTTCAAGAAACTGATATTTTGGGGCAAGAAGAATAAATAAGTTGTGCTGCAGGTGAATCCGGAAATGGTAGGACGCCTTGAAAAAGCTGGTCTCTCTTTTACAGCGAAAGACATATCAGGTCGACGCATGGAGGTCGGTACTTTCACATATTGGACTTAATTACTCTTTTGTATGTTTAATGAATCATCAGCCTGAGTTTTGACGTTTTGGTTTTGGCAGATTGTTGAGCTAAGGAATCATCCATACTACATTGGCGCACAATTCCATCCCGAATTTAAATCAAGACCAGGGAAACCTTCTGCTTTATTCTCAGGTACCTAGCTCTTCTTCCTCACTCATTTTCCATCAAAGTAGTTGTTTGTTTTCAAGTTCTTACGAGTATAAATACAGGCAAAGAAATTAGCTCATATTGTGATTCACTTACGAAACAGGGCTTATAGCAGCGGCATGCGGGCAGTTGGATAGTCTCCTCTTACAAGGATCTGAGAACAAAAGGATTATTCCAATGGCAGCAGGCACGATTGACACCCAAACAGCCATAATATACCAAAATGGAACTGCAACTAAGGCATCAAATGGGACACTAGATGGCATTTACAGCATTTGCAATGGGGTACACTAGTTATAACTTATAAGCCCAAGTGATGCCCTTCTATTACTGCATTACAAGTGTGGTTGCTAGGATCTTACTATGGAGGCTTTTTTTTTTTACACTAGTTATAACTTATAAGCCCAAGTGATGCCCTTCTATTACTGCATTACAAGTGTGGTTGCTAGGATCTTACTATGGGGGGTTTTTTTTTTTTTTTTTTTTTTTGGTCCCTTCTTTTTGGTAGTGATATTTGAAGAGGATTGGGTTCTTGTGTACAGTCATGTGGGGTATTGGGTTTGATATAACTGAATTTTGCAATAGAACTCGAGCGGATCCCGGTTTTTTTAAACGGGAACCAGATCGTCGAAGTTCCACAGTTGTACTAGCGATTGGGAAAAATGTTATGGGGGTTGCTTTCTTTCCCTTCTCCTCAACTTGTTTTATCAATATGATAGTGAAACTCTAATGTTGCATCGATTGTAGGCCTTGTAGATGTCAACTTAAACTTTGTGGAGGGAGTTTTATTCAAATTTCTCCTTATCCTACATCTGAATTGAGTTCTTTCTGGTTAAAACATCTCTTTCTAGTTGCTCGAGAACGATTAGAAGATTCTCTACAGTCTTGGATACGGTTTCGAAAATGATATCCATTTGGGGTTCCCATCTCAATGAATTTTTACAATGAATTTTTACAACTATTACAAGCTGCAAGCAAGTCAGGTCATGGTTCAGTTAGCACAAACTTGTGAACACTAATTACAAATTCCTCTTCCAATCCTTATGTAGTTCTTGTCGAGCAGTTTGTTTGAGAAACCATCACAAATATTGGATTGAAAGATTATTGAATAAATGACAATTTTATTGACACCCCAAGTTTTTAATAAAGCGCCCAACATATTTAAAAATTAAAGTTATTCTCTTTTTAAAATTAAAATCCTTTATAATTCTATAAATATCTTCATGCACACCCCATATTTTTCTATTTTTAAAAAAACAGTTTCTTAAAATGATTTATTTTTCCTTTAAAAAATTCGTATGTTTGGTTGTTAGATTCATACCATGATTCGAATCATGATTCGTGGTTCGTTACAGTATTTTCTTTCAAAAAAACACACATAAATCGAGAATTGTTCTGAATCATGATTCTTAATCCATAAACCAAATGTCCACTCTGTTGTACAAGTATTTTTCAACGGAACGAACGTTAGAAATTGAATTTTATGAGATATTTTGTGACACGGCTCAAAATTTAAAAACAACAGTATAATTTGTCTTTAATTGAATGCCAATTATTCATTTTTTTAGGTCCCGTTTATTTTATCGATTCAAGTTTAGTTACAGTAAAAAGTTCTCAGAAACTGTCACATTTAATTTTTTTTATAACAGTAAAAAACTCTCATATAAAATTATATCTCAATTCAAATTAAAAACTCGAATCAACAAACTAAAGGGACACTTAACGTGTAATATAAATAATATATTTTTTTAACCATTTTGGCTTAGAGTTTTGAGAACTCCAACATTCGTTGCTAATCGGTAATTTTCCCGCCAAATCACTGAAGCAGAAGGGGAAGCCAAAGAGAGGAAGAATCGAGCTCCAGCAATGGCGTCCAAAGCCAAAACCCTAACGGATTTCTTCCCCCCACTGCAACAGCCATCCGCGAAGCGCCTCAAACAGACGCTTTCCTCTACCAACAACAAATGCGACGCAAATGGAATCATCCCCAATCGCTCCTCCTCCTCCTCCGGCATCGGCGATGGTGGCGCCGACGGCCTCTCCGCCGACCAAAAGTCGCGCATGGAATTCCAAAAGGTCCTCGCCAAGTCCAGGCGCAACCTCAAAATCTGCTCTCAAAGAGTCTCCAATTCCCAAAGTAAACAAAAAAAAAAAAAAAAACCTTATTTCGTTGCATAATCGGAGAATTTCATGTGGAATTAACAAAGATTAACGAATATTTTTAATTATTCAGGTGAAGGAGGTTGCGGATACGTGAAGTTGGAGGAGTTGTTGGTGGAGGAAAGCTGGTTGGAGGCGCTTCCAGGCGAATTCCAGAAGCCCTACGCCAAGAATCTCTCCAAGTTTTTGGAGTCTGAGACATCTGCCGTTGGGGTTACTGTATATCCGCCTTCGCATTTGATCTTCAATGCTCTCAATTCCACTCCTTTTGATAGGGTCAAGGCTGTTATTCTTGGCCAGGTATTTTCTATGCTCTTCCTTACTCGTTACCAATTTAGAATTTGATGGTTGTGGATTTGGATGAGGGGAAAAAGCAGAGAAGAAAACATGAATCTCTAAGAGCCAATTCTTTTAGACTTTTGCGGACTTTTATTTCGGAATCATGGAATTAAGATGTTGCCATTTTGAACAATGGTTTCTGATTAAACTAGAAATTTCAGATTTTAATGCATTACTACAGTTGTGCTTTTAATGTTGAAAAAAGAGAAAAAGTAAAGGGTTTACTTAGTTTTTTTTTTTTTTTTGGTTGTGAAAGTAATAATAGAAAACAGAACCTCAAATGTTTCTCTAGGAAATATGGCAATAATTTACTTTCTAATGCTTAATAAGTTTTGTGTTGTTTGGTTTCTATACAAAATAATAATAATAATTACTAACAATAACAATGATAATAAATAAAACGTAAGCATTGCCATTGTCAAGCTGTATGACAGTTGAGCAAGAACTACAACTTTTTGGCCCTTGTACAATAGCAGAACTACAATTTCTGGATAAGGGAGCTAATATGTTGCATTTTGAACTTTGGTTTGTTGGTCACATTATATATTTTTTTAGGATCCATATCATGGTCTGGGCCAAGCAATGGGTCTATCCTTCTCTGTGCCTGAGGGGGTTAAGGTGCCTTCAAGTCTCGTCAACATTTTCAAGGAACTTAAGCAAGATGTTGGCTGTTCCATTCCATCTCATGGAAATCTGGAAAAATGGGCCGTGCAGGTATGTAGTTTCTTTCATACATTATTGGAGTTTTGTAATGTAATATTTTTACTTTATGGGCAGGACAACGTCTTTCCATATCAATGTAATCTGGGATCTGGCATAATTTATAGATACTTTTTTGAGATCCTTGTTCTTCAGTGGGGCCATATTTTTTTTCCAAGATATTTAAAGTTTCATAGTTAACATTTGGTGTAGGTTTTGAGTAATCTTATATTTGATCGATTGCTATAACACCAAATAAAATATTTGAATGTTTTATTGATGCTTAAAAAAGGGGCAAAAAATAGGGGACAACATCAATGATGGGCCTGGGATAACATACTCAAGTCCAGATTTATGATTAGATTTGTAGACAATGAAGCAAGTTCAGTTAATAGATTTAGAGATGTCACCTACAAACAGATTTCGATCTGCCAGTTGAAGTTTTATAACTTGAGGATGTAATCAAGATAATTGGTAGAATTTTATCAAGCACAGCACATGTGTTTATTATTATTATTTTTATTATTATTATTTTTATTATTTCTTCAAGGAGGTGAGCCATGAGGCCGGGTTTTGAAGTAGGAGAAATAAAACAGAGAAAATCGGTTAGTTCTTTTTTGAGGTGTGCCATGCCCACTTGATGACTTTGCTGGGTAAGCATGGAAGGAATTCATAAGCCTCCTATTCTGTACACTTAAGTGAGAGGAGGAAGTAGAGGAGCAGAGGCAGAGTAATTGTGGAAGTTTGTTTACAAGGATAGAGTTTGAACTCTACTAGTTTGTTACAGTTGGTTGTATTCTCTTACGAATGGTCACAAGTGGGTCAGTGGTATAAATAGAAGGACTAGAGGTTAGTTAGGGAGTTAATTGGTTGGCTAGTGAGTAGATTACTTGGGAAACCAAGTGAGCAGGTGTAGCAGTTCCTCGAACTACTACGGGGGCTTGTGTTGTGATTCATCTTCTTGGGGTTTTCCTAGAAATTTTTCACTAAAACATCCATTTATTTTTCAGTGCTATTGTGTTTTTGTGAATTCTAGTCCTATCAGGAATCTCTTGGAACATTTGTAGTGCGAGGGGTAGTCTTTTCATACATTAGATTGGTATATTACCTGAGGGTGCCTAAACATGAGAACAGCTTCCACGAGAAAATTTCTCGGCCTTTTCAATAAGGATTGCCCAATTCGAAATTGCCAAAGAAGAGATGTGTAAGCTCAATTGTGCTGACCATGCGTAGTTAGTTAGTCTTTGGACCCTGTGTTATATTTAATTCAAAGTGATTATTTTGTACAATTGTAGAAAAGAAATTTTATTGCTTTGAGTTTGACCAAAATATGCATGCACGAAAGACTGAATATGTCCTATTTTCCGTTGTAGGGTGTCCTCTTGCTCAATGCTGTTCTCACTGGTAAGACTACTAAATATGATGTTTGGTGATTACTACTGAAATAATGCATCACATGAGAACAACACATTTCCATGTCAAGCTCATATAGCATACAGAAAATTGTTGTCTTTCTTGAGTTGTCATTCCCTATTGTTTTGGACTCTAAGCTTCTCGTAGTTATTTTCTCATTCATTGCCTCTGTACTGTGTTCCCTTTCATCCAATTTAGATTTAAGCCCTCTGTACTCACGGGAAAGATATTCTGCAAGACTTTTGTGGTCAATTCTACAGATTCTAGATCCAGTCATTTTACTTGAGGTCTGCATGATTTTGTTTTTCAAATACTTCTCACAAAAAGAACTTAAAAATGACTTATTGTTATACTTAAAATTACATTAGAAGTGTTCATTTTGTTTTTTGTTCAACGTTCCTTCTAAGGTAATTAGCAGACGCATAAAATTATCTACAGAAGCTTTTTCTTCCCTGATATATTTTTTTTCCCCCCCTTGAAGTGCATGTCTTGGCGTTCCTTTTTTTGTCCCTCAACTTTACGTCTCTACTAATTTTCATATGCAGTCAGGAAACATCAGGCAAACTCTCATGCAAAGAAAGGATGGGAGCAATTTACTGATGCTGTTATTAAAACGATTTCGCAAAGAAAGGAAGGAGTTGTTTTTCTTTTATGGGGAAACTCAGCACAAGAGAAACGCAGGTACGTTTATTTTGTTCTTCTAGATTTATGTAGGCACTGGATCTTTGTTAGAAAACATGCACATGCAGAACAAGTTGAAGGAATCTTTGGTAGAGTATTGTGTTGGGAAATATTTGGAATTACACAGAGAAACTCGAGAAATCAGACGAATATATATATATTTGCTTAATATTTTTTTAAAAAGTTCAGCGATTTTCCTCTTTGTTTGCATTGAGAAATTTGTGTGCAGGTTAATTGATGAGTCCAAACATCACATTCTGAAAGCTGCACATCCTTCTGGTTTGTCTGCAAACAGAGGCTTCTTCGGCTGCAGGTTAGTATCATTCAATATAAGAACATAACAACATAATTTTGAAAGATCATATTCGATTTCTTGGCAACACCCCGGTGTATGCATCATGGAACCCTTCTGTTTGGTTGATTCCTCGTTTAGCCTATTCTTAGGAATTAATGTTTATCACATAACTGGTTATATCATTGGTAACTTTCATTCACAGATAAAAAGAAAACCATAATAAAAATAGCGATAATCGCGTAATCAATTGCCTTTCGATGATCTGCGCAGGCATTTTTCTCGTACCAACGAGCTTCTGGAGAAAATGGGAATCCCCTCAATAGATTGGCAGCTTTAATAATACAAGACCCATCGCTCTCTAGTACTAACTAATTTATACATAATACAACTGTTGGGGCTTTGCAAAGACGTACGGGGTTTGGGCACTTTTGATATATTTTGTCTTATTTTAGACTGACTGACTTGTTTTTGTTGCTCTTCTCAATTGGGATTGCCAGATAACTAATGCTATTTTTCCTTCCCAGTCTTTTTCAGAATCTTATCTATATTTGTGTGGAACAGAGAGTTCCTTGGTTTAAACCAGTCCCTCCTAGCTATATGAATAACAATATTCACTGCTTGGCTATCATAACAAGAATTGTAATTAAATTTAAAAAAAAAAAAAAAAAAAAACAACAACAACAACAGCTGTTAAACTAACTGTGTGCATCCTTGAACCATTGAGAGAGATGTAAAATATGCTATTTCACAGTCACGTACCACCACCCGGAAAAAAAAAAGATAAAACTACATTTGTAATTAATTTCAGGTATTTCAAGCAAAAAAAAAAAAAAAAAAATCAGGTAAAAGTTGTCCTTCATTGTTGAATTCGGCTATATTGTGCTTGATCGATTACTTGTAAATCCATTCATTTGCACGGCCTCCTGATTCGTCCATATCTATAAAAATGCTGACTGCCTGCGTCATGCGTATACCCATATCACATGAAAATTAAAAAAAAAAAAAAAAAAAAAAAAAAAAAAAAAAAAAAAAGAAAGAAAGAGTTAACTTACTCTTAATATCTCATATTTTTTATTAATATCTTTTAATTAATATAATTATTTGATTGAAAATGATATTAAGTAAGAAATGATACAAATTTAAACTGGTGCACTTTAAAATGGTATTTATCTTCTTTTTTTAAAATTAAAAATTACTTTTTCGTTAAGGACTAATCCTAAAACCCAACTTTCTAGCAAATTTCACTTTAATCCATGATGTTTACATAAGATTGAACTTGTAACTCTTTATCTAAACTCCATTCCACTCAAACTCCCTAATGCCACTAAACCGAGAGGTTTTAGGCACTTTAATCCATGATGTTTGAAATGTCCAATTGACACCGATCTTTTTTGGTGTAGTAAACTTTTATAGTCGTTTGAGGGTAACTTTTTTGAGATTATTCTTTTTTTTTCTTTTAGGAAGAAATTATTATTAATGTTTTTAATTTGATGAATGTGAGTGTACCTTTCCTATCCGAGGCCTCTCCTTGGAGTTTTGGAGGCTATTCCGGATGTGTGACACAGCTCCCCAGCATTTCAAGTTGTTTGCCACGTCATCAAGCCTCAATATATACTCTTCTTCTGTCAGTGGAAATGATCTCTACATGTACATATCCATACAAAAATGCAGTTTGTAAGAAATGGTGATACTTCTCATAGAGCAATTTCTAACCACTAGAGAATTTGATACCTGCTCCCTGTACTTCCACATGACGTTTAGAGCCAGCAGATTTCTTCCCATGAACTCCTAAATTCAGACATATATTTTAGAGTGAGAACATGTGAAAATCAAAGCCAATCTGGATTTCAGCTCCTTCACATGATATGATAATACATGAACACATTCAACTGTCACAATAAGGGTGTATTACTTTGGAAGGGGAATTCGTGTCATGATTCGAATCATGGTTCGTTGCTCACTACAGTATTTTCTCTCACAAAAAACACACGTAAAACGAGAATGATTCTGAATCCATGAACTAAACATAAGTGCTTTCCTTTGTTTATTTAATTATGTGTTAATTACGAAACTAACAAGTGTTGTTGGTGAGCACCTGCGGTATATGAAATCAATAAAGGGAATATCAATTCTTACCCTTTATTGTTTTTATTTGCGATTAAAAGGGAATGAAGTCAAGTTTTTGTATATATTCTTGATCAGTTTATATTTTGGATTAATTTCATAAGTACCCCTTGAACTTTGTACAATATTTTAACATTGCCCTCGAATCTTGAAAATGGATCGTTTCGGCCCCGAAAGTATGAAAAATAGTTTAAAACACCTCTTGAACTAATGCTATCTCATAAATAACACTGAATTATTGATTTTGTGCCAACTTGCCTCCTATCTTTAAAAAATTTAGGGCAAGTTGACAAAAAAGTTATAATTCTGGGGACAAATTAACTTAAAATCAATAGTTTATGAGTATTTATAAAAGTTCAAATAATTTCACGTCATCATGTTTTATAAATGCATAGAATATTTGAACTAGGATACAATACAGAGACATGTTGGAACAAAGTATAAAATTTATTGAGCATTTATAAGATTAATCCTTATATTTTATAAGCCAATGGTTATTTAATTATGTAAAAAGTAATGATATTTGATGAGATCTCTATAACTAAGTTTATTAAGTACTAAAGGGAATTGAATTGTTACTCATTTCACTTAAGGTAAGTAAACATTAGAAAAATAATCAATAGTTGCTGTTCTTATTCTTTTATTTTACTTTCTAACTGGTTACCTTCACCGTTCCATTCTATTATGGTTTGGTAAACATGTCATTGTTCTATAACCTCTATGATGAATATGAACTCTATTCTATGTTTGTCGATTTAACACCAGACATATTATAAGGTGATTTTTCTATTCAAATATTAAAATTTCGTAATCATACTAATTTAGCATTTCATTAGAGATGTTCTTAGATGCTTAATTAAATAATAGAATCTTTTAAATCATATACTATTGCAGTAATGTTGTGAATTTGAAAAAAAACAAATACCTTCTTTATAAGTTGAACGTCATAAGACCTGCCGTACTTGTTCCTAATAAGAGTGGCCAGGTCTATCCCACTAAACGTTGAATCGTCTTGCCCAACAATTCTTTCAAGATTCTCTCTGATACTTCCACTGTATATTTCCTGAAACAAAGACAATTTTGATTAAACCCTAGAGTTCACTAGGGAGATCCAAAATTTTATCCAACTTACGGAATTAGTCCTTTATATATTAATTTAAGAGTGATCTTTTAGGATTAACAAATATTTATTGATTTATAAATTAATAAATAGTTCAAACATCTATAAATTACTAAATTATTATTTTTTATCTATAAATAAATAACTCTCTACATAACGTATCTATACCTTATTTAAATCTCCATCGTTTGAGTCAGCTTTGGTAGATTCTGGATCTTTGCCATCACTATCTCCATCATCTGAGTCATCTGGAGAGATTGCATGATCGTCCAGGGAAGATGATATGGAAAAGTTATGCCTATAATTATGTGATTTCCGACCATTTTGATGGAAATTACAACTCCATCCTCCAGTTGAAGTACTGGAATGTCCACAAAACGAAATTTTGCTCATCTTGTTCGTATTGAATTTCCCATTAGTAACCAAGTACTTCCAGTACTGAATTCCTGGAGCCAAATTACAATTAGAGTTGTGGCTTGTTACATTTATGCTCCTCATATTCTGAACCCAAAAAAAAAATGTGTACTTTAGGGTCAAAATTAATTTGCTCAAATTCAAAGATGTTTCATAAGGGAAAAAATAATAATAATCAAGGAAGAAAAGAGTGAAGAAAGAGAATAAATAAACCTGGGAATTGGTGAGCGGCCAAAATCAAACGTTCGAATTAATCAGAGACAAACTTTGCTGATGATATAAAGGTGAGAATATTTAGTCCATATTAAATAAGACAGTAATCATCGTCGACCCCTATTTATTTTTCTTTAATTCTAGAGAGCCTAACGACTAAAGAGGATATAGCAGCAGTAGAAGCAACAACAGATCGAAATGAAATCAGAGGCCAATATGGCAAGCAGTCAAACACAGGACAACCTGAACCACACATGTAGATATGTACACAAAACCGGCTATTTATTTATCACATTATTTAATTATCAAAAAGGAAAAATTGAGAGGCTTCCGATCAAATTCGTGGGGACAACACCCAAGATTACTGGATATGGTCCGTTTAGTTCGCTGATTCGAGTTTTTAATTCGAGTTGAGATGTGATTTTATGTGAGAATTTTTTACTGTAGTCAAAAGTTAAATGTGATTGTTTCTGATAGTTTTTTACTGTAGCAAAACTTGAATTCTAAACTCGAATAAGTGAAATAAACGGAGCCGAATCGTTGATTCGAGTTTTTAATTCCAATTTTGCTACAGTTAAAAATTTTCACAAAAAATCACATCTAATTTTTTCTGCTACAATTAAAAACATATGCATAATATTGATGAAGCACCAAAGCATTCCAAGTCAGTCCCAAATTAATCGTCAGAATGCAAAATTATAACATTTCAAGTTTAAAAAAAAAACACTCTCCAATGTTTTTTTTTTTAATGTTAAGTTTAACATCAAGTATAACTTATTATAAATTATATCGTTTGGTTGCTATTGGTTAGAGTGTTGATTTTTATTTTTTATATATATAAGTGCTTTTAAAATCATACTTGTAATTTATTATGACATTGTGAGAAATAAATTTATATATACATTTTTTTATACGAAAAGATTTTATTAAAGAAAATCAGGAATTAAAATGTGAATGACTCTACAATATAAGTAAGGACCGATTTCACCACACTTTAAACAAGTAAATCCGCAATGTGTAGGATGTAAATTATTATTGGTGTTCTTTATGAAGCAACTTTGATGAGAAGAGTCTTGGTTTGGAAGTGATGAAGTTAGTCAAAACAAGCTAATTCTTCGTTAAAAAAAAAAAGGCTAATTATTGAATTTATTCTTAAATCATGTAAATGATTCTTGAAATACATACATTAATTAAAGCTAATTATTGAATTTATTCTTGAATCATGCAAATGATTCTTGAAATACATAACATTAATTACTTTATACAAATCCAACATAGAAGAGAGAAATTATGTGGAAAACTAATCCATCTTGTTAAGACATTCACGAGGAATGATGTTGCGGTAAAGGAGTGAGTTTTTGTTTAACCTTTTAACAGTTGGTCCTCATTTTGAAAAGTTGCACAACTAGGTCCCCCAAACTCCCATTTTGTTAGTATTTACATGGCTCCACCACTGAGCGAGGGTGGGTATAGTTACAATTATCTATTATAAATAGGGACACAAATATAATATTTTTATTGAGTAGGATATGATATAATATTCTTAATTTACTAGAGACAAAAAAATTACAGTAATTTGCCTTAAAATGTTTGTTTCAAATTTTTAGTTAGGATGCGTGGTCCGAGTAAGAGTAACGTGACTAGCTTAGAGATATAGAGATACTAGTCACTGAGTCAAATATAATGCTGACTCTAATGAAACTGATGAACTCGCCTTAGGTCTTGAGAGAGCAGAGCGACCCTTACCCTTAAGACGAGGAGAACTAACAACTCAAAGATTTTGTAAATCACTTAGATTTTTTATTTGTTGATTTAATGAATTTAAACATCAATTAAATCTTTTTAAGGTAAAAAAGGTGATAAAATCAATTGATTATGATTGGTGCAAAATTAAATTTATTAATGCTTGATAATTTTAAAATGAGGATCTAAGTGTCAAAATGGGAGTTTGGGATCCAGTTCTCCAAAATTTTGAATTCGGAATCAAGTCCTAATAAAATAGAAATTTTAAAAAGAGGGATACAAGTCAAAAAGTCAAAAAATTTATGGGATTCTTCGGTAGACCGTCTTACTAGTAGGATTAATTTTTTAACTGTTAGATATGATCAAAATCAAATGAGATTGAAAAAGTATGCAGAACGTACAGTTTTTGATACATATATGAAGGCTGAAAACGGTTGAAAAAAATGAAACTACGGCCTCGTTCGTTTTGCTGATTCGAGTTTAGAATTCGAGTTGAGATGTGATTTTATGTGAGAGTTTTTTACTGTAGTAAAAAAGTTAGATGTGACTGTTTGTGAGAGCTTTTTACTGTAGCAAAACTCGAATCAGCGAAACGAACGAGACCTACATGTAGTTTCACTTTTCTGGTCCTACGGGAGAAACTCCCAAAATTTAAAACCCAAAAAAGGGACTTTCTCCCGTACATTAATATACCGGTGAGTTAGGTTTTATGTCCCTCAAATCTGTATAAAATTACATAAAAAAAAAAAAATATGCAAATCTAACGGTTCAAAAAACTTGTCCTACAGCGTACCAAAGAATCTCTGAAAAAAACCTTTATCTTTACTGCTCTTCCAAAAACAACACGTAGGTTATTGGTATAAATTTGGGTTTTCTTAGAAATTAAGTTTTTTGTCCCTTGAATATGCATAAAATTACGTAAAAATAAAGAGTACGCATATCCAATGGTTAGAAAGACATGTTCTATCGATACGTCTAGCGTACTGAATAATCTTAAAAAAAAACCTACATCTTTACTGCTTTTCCAAAAACAACACGTAGGTTATTGGTATAAATTTAGGTTAAAAAATAAGAGACTATTCTCAATAAACCGTCTTATTAATAAGATTAATTTTTTAACTGTTAAATTTAATTAAAATTAATTTAAATTTAAAAAATAAATAAAATAAATAATTTTTAATATAAATTTAACAACTAAAAATAACTAAAACAATATAAAACAATGAGTAATTTATTTTTCTGATTCTACTGAGAAAACTCTCTAGAAATAAAACATTCCCGTATCTTCTTGAACCTGTCTTTACGTGATAAACACTTTTTGACACCAATACATATATGCACGCGCACGTACACACCATTTTCTTGGGAGTCTAAAAAACTAACTAAGTCCCTTCTCTCCAGTTTCATCCTAGCTAACTTTTATGATTACTAATTTTCGTTTGCTCCTTGGGAAGAGAAGAGACAAGAACTAAGAAAGAATATAAATAAACAGTTATTCTTCAACATTGTCTTCACATCATAGTCCTTCCGTACTGAAAACATAATGGGCCCGTTTGTTTGCGTTTTCGTTTTCGTTTTTCACGGTTTTCAAAGCAAAAAAATGAAAACGGGTGTTAAAAACGTGTTTGGTACAATTTTTTTTAAAAAACAAAACCAAAAACGTTTTTGTCTTTTTGTGGAAATCAGAAAACGAAAAAAAAGTGTTTTTATTTTCTTGTTTTCGTTTTCTGTTTTCTGAAAAACGGATTTCACTTTTTTTTTTCTTTTTCATTTTCTTCCCTCTTTTCTGAAACCGTTTTTGTATTATATATGTTTAATTAATATATTTATTTAATATATTATTATTTAATATATTTAATAATATTATTTATATAATATATTTAATAATATTATTTATTTAATATATTTAATAATATTATTTATTTAATATATTTAATAATATTATTTATTTAATATATTATTACATGTTTTCAAAAATTAAACCACCAAACGCAGTTTCAGTTTTTTTTAAAACTGAAATCAATCTCTAAATAAAACTACCAAACGCATTTTTAGAAATAATTCGAAAATAAAACTAAAAACGTTTTCATTTTCATTTTCGTACAGAAAATAAAAACGTTTTGGAACCAATTCCAAACGCACCCAATATATAAAAGAGATGTCTCAGACTCAGATGCAAAAGAAGACAAAATAAAATAAAATAAAAGAATATCCATATCAACAAGTTCAGTTCTTTATAAAAGGCTCAAGCTTGAGGTCGTTTTCTTCTTGAAATTAAATAAGCTTGGGCATATCCTTGACAAAGATTATGAAAACAAGTTAAGTTTGAGAAAGTCAAACGTGCATGGAAGTAACTGGTTATAACAATTAGTGGATCAGTACTAATTATCCATGCATGACGCACCCACCATATATATTATGTTCCATATATAGATATATATATATATATATATATATATACACATTCATTATGACCAAATTAATGAGGTAAACTAACAGGGAAAGAAGCCCATAAAATTTTGAGCAACTCAAGCTGTGAATGCCACAAAAATATATAGGGAACGAAATCTTTAGAGCAACGAGATAGAAAAGAGGTTAAAAACTTAGGACTCGTTCATTTCGCGGATTTAAATTTTCAATTCGAGTTGAGATGTGATATTTTTTTAGAGTTTTTTACTGTAACAAAAAAAATTAAATGTGACATTTTCTGAGAGATTTTTACTATAAAAATCTAAAATTAAAAACTCAAATCGGTAAAATAAACGAGTCTTTAAAAAAAAAAAAAAAAAAAACAAATTTCATCATCAAAGAAAAGGACAAGATGTTTGAAAAGATAGGCAGAAAGTGGGGGGGCACTTGGGGATTGCTTGAAGGGAAATGCAATTTCCAAATTAGTTCGGTGAAACCCTTTTTACCAAAAATGGAGGTTTCTTAAAGGCCATGCTTAGATTTCCAAATCTGCACACCACAACTTTTTCCATATTTGAAATGCGGACTCTCTCTCTCTCCACTTTCTGAGAGACAAATGATAATACTAAATAGATTGACAAAAACGAGTCAATAGATTGGCTTTCTCTGATACAGATTTTGCTTCCCCTTAAGAAAACCAAGCGCATAGCTAAAGACCAAAGTGCTTTACAGGAAGATAATTTTACGAACCACACAAAGCACACAGAGAGGGAAAAAAAACAAAAAACTATATTACACACAAAATAAATAAATAAATAAGCAAAGAAAAGAAGAGAGAGAGAGAGATGTCTATCCAAGGAGTCCCACCTGAAAGATGAAGCTTTCCGTAGTTCACGCCCAATTGCAGAGAAAACAGTGAGATGGGATTAGACATGAATATAATCTGACAAACTGTTTGTGTCATCCAATAGTACTGCATTAGCGTTTTCATGTATCCCTAGGTCAAACAACAATTATAATGCTTTTGTTGAAACTAGTTGTGGCTCGTGGGATATTTTTATTAATTGATAATTTTGTAAAAATTTTTAAAAAAAGGTTCAATATGAGTGGTCTCACTTTCTATATTTAAGGAGGTTAACCCATACAAGATTGATATGCCAATTCTTCTCTCTCTCTCCTTCTTTTTTTTTTAGAGGAGATCAATATATAATCAATATTAAGGTTCACTCGTGCTTTTAGCAGAACAACATATAGAAGCCACCCGTTCATTCCCCCTTATGGTTAGACTCGAACGATGATTGAGAAATGTAATCATAATAATAAGCTAATTATAACTGTATATGCAACTTTACCACAACCGATATACCAAATTTTCTCAGAATATAAAGCAGAAAATCTTCTAACACCTATCTCTCTCCAACAAGTGGAAGATGCAATAGTTCTATGAGTTGGTGTTTTTCTCTTGGAAGGGCATCTATTCTAGATTGTGAATAATAAGGAAATGCAAAAGGACAGTCGTGTTATACTTATCTTCTCTCTCTCTCTCTCTCTCTCGTTTTCTTTCTCTGAGATATGAGATCTCTCTGAAGTGGCACTTGTCCTTGCTACCTCGGCCTTGACAAATCAACACTGAATTGATAGACGCATCCACCAGAATCAGTACTACTCTACCATGCAGTACACGCCATTCTCTATCTCACATGAAAGATCAAAATAATAATAATAATAATAACAATAGTAACGGAAAGAAACAAGACAGAAATCAGAAGAGGAAAGGCCAAGTGGTCATCTTATTTAAACACATGAATTTTCCAAAAACCCTCCACCAAAACGAAGCAATTGAAAACAACCAAACTCCTTCATATATACTTGCATGTATATGTATAAATATGTACGGATATAGATATTTCCTTCTCCTAATCAACTAGATACGAACCCCCTTCCGTGAAACAAACGATCCATAATCCATTTTACCCTTTTACTTCCACAGCTGATACTTTCCACATTTATATATATATATATATATATGTGTGTGTGTGTTGCACTCTTAAAGATTTCATCAAATATATCCTCCACCGCCTTTCTTCTTAGTCAAAAAAAAAAAAAAAAAATCTCCACTCTTCTTTTTCTTACAATAGGACAAGCAAGTACATATAGGCTTACCCTTTTATCCTCCTCAAATATTTCCGTGCATTTCACTTACACCCACACGCCCACATATATCATATATGGAAGCCTTTGGCCCTAATTCTATCACCTTACCATTTTCCTACACCTTCGCTACTTCAGCCACAACTAGTAGCAGCACAAGTATTATGTCCTCCTGCAGCTCCTGCTGGATGGACGGCAGGATTTGGAGCAAGCTCCCGCAGCGCCTTCTCGACCGCGTGATCGCCTTTCTCTCGCCGCCGGCGTTCTTTAGGGTTCGCTGCGTCTGCAAGAGATGGTACGGCCTCCTCTTCTCCCCCGCCTTTCTCGAACTTTACCTCCAACTTTCACCGCATCGACACCACTGGTTCCTCTTCTTCAAACACAAATCCCTCAAAAACTACGTCAATCTCACAAAAACCACCGACGACAACAACAACAATAACACAACCTCATGCGCCGAAGCATTCCTCTTCGACCCTTACGATCTTTCATGGTACAAGCTCTCTCTTTCCGATCTCATTCCCTCTGGCTTCTCTCCAGCTTCTTCTTCTGGAGGTTTGATCTGCTACGTCTCGTGCGAAGCCGGCCCCAAAGGCCTTATTCTCTGCAACCCAATACTCGGTTCTTTAATCCAAATACCTCCAACACTAAGACCACGTCTTTTCCCTTCCATTGGCTTAGCCGTTAGCCCTACTTCCATCGACGTTACCATCGCCGGAGACGACCTGATTTCCCCTTACGCGGTGAAAAACCTAACTTCCGAAAGCTTTCATATCGATGGAGGTGGGTTTTATTCTCTCTGGGGAACCTCCTCTTCTCTCCCTAGACTCTGCAGTTTCGAGTCCGGTCGAATGGTTCACGTCGAAGGGAGATTCTACTCCATGAACTACAGTCCTTTCAGCATCTTGGCACACGACATTTCGTCGAACAGTTGGTGGAAGATCCAAGCCCCGATGAGGAGGTTTCTCAGGTCGCCGAGCCTTGTGGAGAGCAAAGGCAAACTTCTCCTGGTGGCTGCCGTCGAGAAGAGCCAGCTGAACGTCCCCAAAAGCCTGAGGATTTGGGGGCTGCAACCGTGTGGGATCACGTGGTTTGAGATGGAGAGAATGCCGCAGCAGCTTTACATTCAGTTCGCGGAGGTCGAAAATGGAAATGGATTTTACTGCGTTGGTCATGGGGAGTTCGTGGTGCTAATAGTCGTTGGGACGGAGAAAGCGCTTCTGTTTCATATGGGAACCAAGAGATGGCAGTGGATTCCGCCGTGTCCGTACGTTAATGGCGGCGGCGGCGGCGGCGGGGGGGAGCTGCATGGTTTTGCTTATGAGCCGAGACTGGCGACGCCGGTCACCGGGCTTCTTGATCAGCTCACGCTTCCGTTTCATCAGTCTTACAATTAATGGCTAGTATCTTTAACGTTGATAATTAAGCTGTGTATTTTTCGTGTGTTTTAATATGTGCTTGATCTTATGTATCATGTGGTAGCTAGGTAGTTAGTAGTAGAAGGAAGTGGTTTCTGGGTTTTGTTTTTAATTTCTCATGTTGTTAGTTAATGCTGTTGTAGTGTATTATCGGTGTATTAGCAAACTTGTGCCACGTACTTTTAATTTCTGTCACAAAATTTCATTGTATCCTTAAATTGTTCAATTTCGTCTGATATATTTCGTAAGGCTAAACAATATACAGATAAAATAAAAAATATATTTCTTTTCAACTATTATAACTAATAAAAGAGAACTTCAAATGATTAAATAAAAATAATAGGATGTCTTTTAGTAATGACTAATGACTATTCATGCAGTTTGGAATAGAGTAAATAGTATATGTTTATGCTTTACCATGGTGCTTTATACCATATTAGTGTTTTGCCATATTTTTTTATCCATGTGTTTATATAATTGTTGTATCATGCATGTGGAATTCCATAATCTTGCATGTCTACACAAAAGCAAGAAAGAAAAACACCAAAAAAAAAAAAAAAAAAAATTGGACATGTCTACACAAGTTTGTTTTAGGGTGTTTCTTGTTTATTATTTTAAAAATTTATCTACTCTTTTGGTTATTATAATATATGGAAAATACCGCTTGGATGGATATATGTTTTTAATGTAATTATCACATATGTATGTTTTATGTTAACATCTATATACATATACATAAACAAAAATATACAAAGAAAAACAAACCGTCTCTTATTTTGTCCAAAAAAAAAAACCTTAAGAACAAACTGGGAAATGGATGAATGAAATAAAACGAGATGAGAAAAGAAACTTTTTTGTTGTATTTTTGTTATGGACATAGATCTATATCTCCTGCAGTCAAATATATTGTGATCAAGAAAGAAGTGGCTGTAAATTCATGAATTAGTTAGCTGGTTCTCATTTAGCTATAGTACCTATGCAATGCACGATATAATACATTTTCTAAGACCCATTTATTCATTGTAAATATCGAAAATAGGATATCTGCTATTTTATTAATTCGCTACGAATAATTAAAAAGAAAAAGAAAAATAATGGGACGAAAACTTGTTTACCTCAATAATATTGATAATTATTCCAAAACTTTAGAGTATATATATTATTATTTGAAAAATGGAAGAGAGAAGACCTAGCGAGCACAAAGAACATTCAAATTACCCCCACAAACTATCACACCCCAAGTCCCCCACTCAATATTTTAAAGATAAAAGGAAAGAAAAAAAAACTGTATAGAATACAAAACAATCAAATAACGGGAAAGCAGACAAATGAATCAACGGAGCATAAATAAAAGTCGTTGAATATATATATATATATATATAGATAAAGTCTTTAAAAAGTGTCTGACTGTAACGACAGTTGTATAATTATGTATAATTGTGTATATTTACATATAACGTCGTGTATAAAGTTATAAGAAATGACAATGTATATTAATCTTCGAAACATGTATTTTTTATAGCAATTAGTGAACACATAACATGAAAATATGTATATTGACTGATTTGTTGTATTTCATGTTAAATATACACGACTTTATATATAAATATATACGACTTTACATATAAATATACACAATTTATGCAGAATTATACAACTATCGTTTCGGTCAGGTACTTAGACAATTCTTATATATATATATATGAATAAAATTAAGTGACGTGTATGTAATTATATGTATATGTGCTTACATGTAGGCACTGATCAATAAATAGAATCAGCACTAGTTTATGAGTTTGGACAAGGCATCAGACAGAAATGACATGCACTTATTCGAGAAAAAAAAAACAAATTATTGAACAATAAAATTTATCATTATAAAATAAATATGATTGAGGATTGATTTATCTTTTATTATTGTAGCATGATTATATAATGTCCATGGAGTCCCTATGTAAGCTCACAAAGTTCGAGTTGACAGATCGACAAGATAAACTTGTAAATGCAACCGGTACAAGAAATTATTAGTTTATTAGTAATTAATTAGTGTATTAATAAATACTAATTGATATATAATAAATTAATAGTATTATATTTACTAATTAAATTTTATCTAAATAATTATATAATTAGGTTAATAATTCTAATTATTTATTTAATATTTCATTATTAATATATTGCACAATCAATCTTTGGTAATTAAAATTTAACTAATAATTAATTACTAATTATCAATTATTATTTATTAATCATTATTGATCAAGATTTTATAAAGTTAATAACTAGAAATTGATATTTATTATTAATTAATTCATTACTAGTTATTTATTATTTATTGATTATTAATAAATTACTAATTTAATAAATTATAATTTCTATTAATTGCTAATTATTTATTTATTAACCTATTATTAATTATTTCACTATTAATATATTATACAATCAATTTTTAGTAATTAATCTTGAACTAATAATTAATAACTATTTATCTATTATTAATCATTAATTGTTATGGATTATTCTATTGTAAATTTAATAATATAAACTAATATTTAATTATTAAAAAAGTAATTACTACTAATTACTTATTAATGGTTTACTCATTAATAATTATATGTTAATTAGTAATTAATTATTTTATAAAATACCTTTAATAAGTCAAAGAAAAAATAACTTTTGTGGCGTTTTCTATTTGCCTTCACAAAAAATGACACTATTATCAAACTACTTTAATCATTTTCAAAAATACATACTAAACAAACATTGTTTAGGAATCATTTTCGGAAATATGAAAAACATTTTGAAAGAAAAACTCTTTTTATCTTAATGAAAATTTATCTCCGTAAACGTAAAAAGATAGCCCCACATCCCATCTGAACTTCATAAGTGAGGCGTATTTTTATGCCTCATTGGAAATAAATTTTCATCAGGACAAATAGGTTTCTTCTTTTTGGAAAATAATACTAAACACGCACGCATATTTTTTTTTCTAATTACTTTTTTAAAAAAGAAAACAAAAAGGAAACAAGAGGAAAACAATCGTGAAAAGGGACTATTTCCCCACTGATGGGATATTTTTTACTGTTAAGTTTAATTAAAATCAAATAATATTAAAAAGATATAGATAGAATCTATACAAATTTAATCATAAAAACAATTAAAAAATTAGTAGATATTTAATTGATAAATTTATAATCATAATTTAAAATTATATTTAATTTATATTTTTTTTATAAAAAAAATATTATAATAAATTATGAATTATAATTTAAATTATGATACAAATTTATTAATTAAATATTTTTTAAGACATATTTAATTTATTAATTTAAATTTTTAATTTAAATTGAGATATAATTTTATATGAGAATTTTTTATTATAATAAAAAAATTAAATATAATTATTTATAAAAATTTTTTACTATAATAAAACTTAAATTTTAAATTCGAAACAACGAAATTCACGTATCCTATGATTTTAGTTTTCTTATCACAGTGGAGAAACTCGCCGTGAAAAGCCCCAAGCCTAAAACCCCAGCAATCCACGACCACAAGGCACAAGCCTCCGTACACGCACCAGTGGAAAGCGGCACCATTTCTCCCAAAATTCCGAAGCAGAACTTGATTGATGCTGCTAAGAATGAAAGCTTTGAGAGCTCTCCGAACCCTAACGTCCCTCTCTTCAAATTCAAAAGCCCCCAAAATTCCCTTAAATCCTTCCTTTCCCTTCCGATTCTACGCCGCCCAGCCTCAAGAGGACGACCCATCTTCCCACCCCACCTTCTCTGACTCCGAAAATGCGTCTGATTCTTCGGTGTTCGACAGTTCCCATTACGCCATGCCCGGCTTCTTCGGCTCAGACGCCACGGCTCCTCCGAAACAACCCACTTGGGACAAGCAGTACAGGGCAAAAGCCGACGAGGTGATATTCGGGAAGAAGAAGAAGAAGAAGAAGAAGAAGACCCAGAAAGAAGAAGAAGAGGAAGAAGAAGAGGTGGAGGAGGAGAAGAGAAGAGCGCTTGCCAAGGCTCTTCTCGAGGCGGCGTTGGAGGCGGCCGACGACGACGAGGACGACGAAGAAGAAGACGGTGATTCGGTGGTGAAGGAGGAGGACCAGAAGTCGCTGTCGGTCGGGATTGTTGGTGCCCCTAATGCAGGGAAATCTGCGCTCACTAATTACATGGTTTGTTTTGTTTTAACTTTTATGCTTCAGTTTTGTAAATTAATTGATGTTATAGGCATTGAAATATGAGTATGTTAAATATGATTTTTTTCATTTTATTTTGTTTTGTTTTGTTTAAATGTTCATAGGTTTATAAGCCCTTTTGGTAAGTTAGGAATAATGGAAATGGGGGATTTTGTTTGTTCCTTGGATTTTAGTCATGGAACAGTAAGATAAATCTCGGGTGTTTTTGCATGGTTTTAGAATGCTATTTTGTGTAAGAAGAATGCATTATCTCCTCATTGATTAAGACTAGTTATACTTCTTGGATCTCCATTGAAAAAATATGATTGGGGTTGCTTGTCTCTACACTATGTAGTGCTTTAAGGATTTTTGATTGAAAATGAGAGTTCATGAGAGGTTTTCTTGGGAATCAATGTTTTCTGGTGTGGGTGGCCCACACCAAATGGATGACAATGTGGGCAGGGTTCTCATTGCAAACCCTCATTATCTTGAACTTAACTATGGTTAAAAAGTGCTACATGGACTGAGTTTATATGAATAACTTTGCTAAACTTCTTACATTTGTTATTTTTTATAAGAAACAACATGTGTTGTTCAAAAAACAGGAACGAAACAATGTGAAGGGAAAAAGTGACCGTTAAGTACTTAGAGAGAAAACAACAATAGCCGCTGACTCATCATTAAGCGTATTTTGAATCATCATTGCCAATAAACGTTCTACTTTTTGTACTATCCACTGTACCTGAAATTTTCTTTCCAAGCCGATTTGATGACTAATGACTTAGCTACTTTCAAACATAAGCCTCTGAGTGAGTTCCGGGATTTTTTGGACTACAAGAGACATGTCACTGAATATTCAAAATGATTTATTATGTTAAATTTCTAGCATTATCTTTTAATTTTATTTGCTTGTACTCTAACAAGCAGCTTTGCTTGATGGTCAGTTCTGCCAAAGTATTTTGATATATTGTATTTATTACAGGTTGGAACAAAAGTTGCAGCTGTTTCACGCAAGACAAACACCACTACACATGAGGTCTTAGGAGTTATGACAAAAGGAAATACCCAAATTGTACGTGTCAAAATTCCTGCTGATGATACGTCATATATGAGATTCTTGCACTTGATACTATACGTAGTTGTTAGTATGAACCACATAGTTAATTTTTCTACTGAACTTGTGTTGTGGAAGACTTTACTTTGACATCAAATAAGATAAGTATCGAAACATTGTGGCATCTATTTCCATATGATCCTTGAAGGATAGGGTTCCTTATGTGTAGAAGATCATGATGATGAGTGATAAGCTTAGGGAACACCATTTTTTGGTGGCAATAATATGTTGTTCGGGACAAAGTGATGTTAACCCTTTTGATTATCAAGCTAACTTTAGGGTTCAACCTGAAATGGGGCGTCAATCGTCTTTGACATGCAGTTGTAGAAAAGGATTATTAGTTAAAGATGAGAAATTTTCCCACTATCAGTTAATATCGAAAGCTCTAATCTTTTTGTTCAAAATTATGGCGTTTTAACAGTTTGTAATATGACTTTTCTGACTTCATTTATGCCTGCACAGTGTTTCTTTGATACCCCAGGGCTTACATTAACAAGTAGTGGGCAACCATACAAGGATATAAAGGTTCGGGTAGAAAGTGCTTGGAGCTCAGTTCAATTATATGATGCGGTTATTGTAATCTTTGATGTTCACAGGCATATAACAAGGTTGGCGGTCCATCGCATATCTGCTTCCTCCTTTTTTTTTTTTTTTGCAACTTTGTCTGCTGATCTCCCAACTTTGCAATGTCTACTTAAAGCTATATACATATTAAATGAGTTGGGCTTACACTTCTACCCTATAAAGAATTATATTGACATTCACTCCTTTTGGGTCGGTAAAGTAAAAGATATTGCTTCTTAAACATCATAGACTATGCCACTATACCTATGGAGTTATAATATCAGTATTATTATTTATTTGTGTAATTTTGTGTACATATCACTTCTTTCTCAGGTATTGCTACCATATTAATTGAACATGTAATTTTGGATTACTTACATCTCATCTCACGCATTTCTATCAAACTCTAGAATGAATTCCACATATTCAAGTGAAAACAAAAGTGAGACTTTTCTTGAGTGATAAGTTTTCTACTCAGTTCTGCAAACTTCATCTGATTCACAGTTATTAGTTATTTCTGTTTAAAAAGAAATGCCTTTTGCTTATTTACGACTTCCATCCATGCAGGCCTGATGTAAGAGTAATAGGAATGATAAAACGTATGGGAGCAAAACCACATGCAACACAAAAAAGAGTATTATGTATGAACAAGGTTGATTTAGTCGAGAATAAGAAAGACTTGTTAAAGGTTGCTGAGCAGTTCAAAGATCTTCCTGGTTTTGAAAAGTAGGATTTTCTTGTAGAATAGGGATTTGAGGATTTTCCTCTGTTTTTCCCCTAAAGATTGCTGTAACTTAATAGTTTCTGATTGTTGACCATTTTGTCTTGTAGGCATTTCATGATATCAGGGCTAAAGGGCTCTGGAGTTAAAGATCTTACGCAATATTTGATGGAACAGGCACGTGCCCTAATCGTTATGCCACCAATATGTCGCAGCGTTATCAAACAACTTACATTCTGACAGATATAGACGTACATACATATACATACATACATATATATATATAAGTATTTATGGTCTGTATAAGTAAAAAATTATGTAAAGCTAAATTTGCAATCTGTTCATTTCTTGTTGGATTGAGGAAGCAGGTTGTCTAATTGAGTCATTTCCAAATATAGTTCTGGAGTTAGTTCTTAATGTAGTTCTGGAGTTTTAGTTGAGCCCTGAAAACTTAGCTTCTTTGCATGAGCATGCTTATCTTTTCTCTTCATTCATTTTATTTATTTATTTATTTTGTCTCTTTTAAGTTCACACCTGATTGTCTTTTCAGTTGTTTTTTCATGTTTAGGCGGTAAAAAGACCTTGGGATGAAGATCCATTCACTATGAGTGAGGAAGTTAGGAAGAACATAGCATTAGAAGTTGTCCGTGAGAGGTTGTTAGACCATGTTCACCAGGTGAGCTCAAATTTCTTCAATCTGTAGCCATGGATGTCATTTTTACGTCCAAAAACATTCTGACTATATCAAGGGGTGAAAAATTTGATCTTCAAATAGTGACAATGAGCTTATTTCAGGAAGTTCCGTACGGTATCGAACATCGTTTGGTAGACTGGAAGGAGTTGCGGGATGGTTCTCTCAGGATCGAGCAACATTTTATCACTCCTAAGTTAAGCCAGCGCAAGATTCTTGTGGGAAAGAAGGGCTCTAAAATAGGGTAACCTACTGAAGTCCTTTTATCTTTTTTTTTTTTTTTTTTTTTTTTTTTTTTTAATGTTTTGTAGACAGTAGAAACACGCGTTGATGTGAAAACTTGAACTGCAGTTGTCAAGTTAGAAACATATGGACTGTTTTTCTTATTTGGACTATGTTTTGCTTGCACAGGAGAATTGGCATTGAGGCTAATGAGGAGCTAAGATCCATCTTCAAAAGGGAAGTGCATCTCATTCTCCAGGTTAAACTTAAATGACAAGTTTAACAATTTGGATGCCTTGCCAAGAAAGCATCTTTTCATATCACATTATCTGGATCTGGAAGTGTATATAGAAAAGGAATCCCAGTGTACCTTTACTATAATGTTTCTCAATGATCAACTTTGAAAAGACCATTGAAATTCAGGTTTTTAGAGTGGAGGCAGCGATAGGGGCGGGAACAAATGTTGAAAGATCACCTTCTTGACGGGTGGGCATGATTTATAGTCTTTGGCTGTTACGAATTAGTCATCTTATAGTCCCTTTTTTCGTAAGTTTTTATTTGTATACTAATGTATTGAAGGTGATAAAAGATTTATTTTCCCAGCTTATTATTTTATTTAATTATTTTTTGTTAACATCAGCTTATAAAAGATGCTCTTCTTAATCACTTGCTTTCTTCTTGCCCAAAAGTTGCAGATGTACTGCAGTTTTTTATATCAAGTAACCTCCTATGGCACTTCACTACTTCAGGGGGAAAAAAAAAAATGCAAGTGTTTGGTTTTACGAATAAACTTAAATGGTTCACCACTAGCCAATATAGATATAGATACATTACTTAAGGTGAAACGCCTTAACACTTGTTCTTTGAGGGACCATTATATACAATACATTCTCACATGCGCCATATGCATGAGTAAAGTATTTACTATAAACATGCATTAAATACCAAAATGCCCTTCTTTTTCTACTACTTCTTCTCCTTTTCTTTTTTCTTTTTTCTTTTCTTGTGGTTTCCCTCTTCCCTCCTTACTTTGATAGCGAAACGTGCAGCCCAAGGAAGCCCAAGACAAAATATACATTAAATAGGGAAAACAAACCTCAAAAGTGTATTCATAAAATCCGTCAATCCGATTGATCTATGAAATCTAATTCAATCTGAAATTTTAAATTGGATTGAAAAAAGTTTTGAATTGGACTCGGATTGATATTTTCTTAATCTGAAAGTTTTTGAATCAGTTTGCTCAAGAAGGCTGATGATCTCAAGGTGATCCTCTCGATTCTTCTCTTTTTTTTTTCTCTCGATTCAAATTTCAAACAATTATTTTTTGAATGGCGAGTCGCATTGAAACGATTCTCTCACTCTTTTAGTGTGGCAAACACAATGACTGTTCGACCCTTCAATCCTTCAAAAAGTTTTAAAAATTTTAAGTTTCAAACGCGATGAACGATTGGTGTTTTTGATTCATTTTTATTGTTGAAGTTTGCGTATTTCTATTGGATTTTTTGGATTGATGGACAGTTCGATGCTATTTAGAAAATGCTCCTAAAAATAGAAAAGGATAATAGTCAAATCTCAGTTTCAGTGAGTTTTTTTTTTATTCTGTTAGATTGAAATATCAATTTCAATCCAGGATTTATATCTTTAAAGTGCTTTCAAATAAAAATAAAGCACAATTGGATTTCTTGAAAGTTTGAGTGGCGCACTGGGGAGGTTGTTTCTTCTTTCAATAGAATCAGCCTAACAATAAAAGTAGTGAAGTAATGTTTGGAGTCTTTAGAGTAAATCAATAATTTTTCAGTTATCAAATGCATTGGCTTTAGCCAAATTACGGCAACTACTCATTTAGGAAGTTCATTAAAATTTTTGACTCATTTCGAGAGACTCCGATTGATTTAATATTTCAATCTGACTGAATGTCTTTTTCTACGTATTGATTTATTGTGTCGTATATATTTTGCTTGATTGGTTTTCAGCTATTTGTGTCTCTCTCTTTCATTGTTTCTTACTTTGTATTCTTTTTTTTTCCTTTTAATGTTTTTCCTTCTTTTTATTGGTTGTCTTCTATTGTGTCAGGCTGCTCAAATTTTTTAGAATTGATTAAAATTTATTTTCATTATTTATTGGATAACAGATAGTTTTTTTAAAATTTTTTTTTTTAATGTTTTATGTTTTCCGTTAGTTTATTATTTTCTGCAGAAAGAGATTTTTAATAATTTTCAGTTTTTTATTTTTATTTTTATGTATTGCTTCTTTTATTTCAAGATTTTCTTTCATACCTTCATTTTCAGTATGGGTTTGTGTTAACACTTGAAGAAGTTAATTCCTTTTTCCTTTTAATATAAATGTTTTCTAGGCATTATGTTTCTTTGAGAAAACGTTGCTCTTTTTGCTGTTCTTTTTAAACAAAGTTTTCGGACTCAAGTTCAATTCTTTGTTTTGTTGTATATGAAAGTTTTTGTCTGGATTAGAAATTATGCTCCTTTGCTAATTGTTGATAATGTTAGGTCTGTTTTTATCCTGGTGTTGCAACACTTTACTGTGACATTATTTTTAACAGTAAATCTGAAATTAAACCAGCAAGGCAAAATGCAGGAAAATAATACAGGAATCTAAAGAACACCAGAAAAATAATATCGCAGTTCGGTGCGCACACCTACTCTGCGGGGCCACGCTCAGACAATGAACAATCCACTAAGTTCAAAAAGATTACAAACACCAATCGGACTTATACACCCAAAGACTCCCTCCTTGACGTTGTCACCACTGTATCGAATCTCCTTAATGGCCTTATCTAGCGAGCACCACTCGTCTTCAAAACTGCAAGGCGAAATCCCTTCGGCTGGCAGTGTGCTTTCTCCCGAAAGCTTCTAATCCTTCTCCCAAATGACGATCTTCAATCAACACATAAAGACTCACTCTCTCATAGACTTTTTCTGAATATTTCTTCTATAAAAACCATGCCCTAAATGTATCCTTTGATTACCCAATATTCTTTTCAAGGCACACCCACTCACGTACACAACTTATGTATATATAGTAAAGTTGCTCATGTGCCTACCCTTGTGAAGTACGTGAAAATCACATCAATATGAATCATATATCTCCACAAGATTAGCTTCACGTAATCAGCTTATCACACCAATACAAATCTCTAGCTCTCATGCAAGGTAAGTTTCCAATAAACAATTCTCACATAAAGACCAACGTCTCTCCTATTTTCAGCCCTTTTCCTTCTGACTTTCAGAAACAAAAACCACCCAACGTACATCCCTTTTTCCACACATACAACCATGCTCCAGCCTGCAGATTATAAGCAATCAATTCCTCCCAAAATTCCACTCTTCATTTTTAGCAATTAAATCCTTTGATTTGCATCCCATAAACATGACAACAAGACTTTCTTTAAGAGACTCTCTTATTTGCTGTGCCAGCCAAGCTTCCAGCCAATTTGTAACTAATTTGTCAAAAATAGTTTTCAACCAATTTGTCAAAAATACGCCAATACAAAAATGCACTAACAATCTCCCCCTTTGGCTATTTTTGGCAAAACTAACATTACTAACAAAAAGAACCTATTACAAGATAAAAGATAAAATCTAACTAAGGGGGCTATTTGAATTAAGAGATCTCCCCCTTTTTGACAAAATACAGCCAAAGTTAAAAATAATACTAATAGAAAAACCTTTTAGAAGCTGTTGCTCCCCCTGAGTCCTCTACGAGTCTTCCTCCCTCTGAATGTAACACTCTCTTAAACTTGATATTATCACATGTTAAATGCTTGGACCAGCCACCATTACTACACACACAACCATTAGTACATACTTTTAAAGAAGTATAAATCCTATGACACCTTAAATCAGATTTCCTTACCCAAACACGTCTAGGAAATTTATTTTGCACATCAATCCTTGCTTTAGGTGTCCTTCTTGAGTTTGCGAAATTTAGTGGATTCATGAGCATACCTCTTTTCAAAGCATTCAAATACTTGTAGCATCTTAGTCTTATATGGACAGTTAAACCGCAATAATGACATATGGGAACAAACTTTTTACGTCGCGGGGGTGAGATAATACCTTTCTTACTGGGGATAATTTGAGGCTTAGGTGCGGGTGTCTCCTTCACAAATACTGTCTTGGACGTTGAGCATTCACTAGTATAACCAAGTCCATGACGATCATAACTTGCTTTTCCTATAGAGAGAATATGATCCAATTTGGTGGTGCCGGAATTCATCCTCTTCAAATTTTTCTGAGTGCTCTCCAGTTCAACCCTTGTGTCCTGCAGCTTTTTCTCATTTTAAGCAGCTTGAAATTCATAGTTTACGGCAGCTCTCTTCAACACATCATTCTCTTTGACAAGTTCATCGATGCGCTCCCGTAGAGACTTATTTATTTTACACACTTTAACCCATTTGCTGAACATGGTCTTATAAGCTTCCTGTATGGCATCAATAGTCAACTCCTCACCATCACTATTACTTTCAGAATCTGAAAAATCTCCTCCGTTTTCACTGTTCACGGAATCTGTTACAGGCAGTGTTGCAACATTGTCTGCGACACCTTTTGTAACACTGTCTGCAGAAACACTTTGATCAGTATAAACATTGAAAGCAACATAATTACTCACATGGTCTTCATCATCCGGACTGCCTTCAGAGTCTTCATCACTCCACGTCGCATTCAGAGACTTCTTCTTCTTCTTCTTCTTCTTTAGAGTGTTGGCACACTCAGATTGAATGTGGCCGTAACCATCGCATTCCCGGCATTGAATACCCATGTTTTTTATCTTCTTCACTGTATTATTTGCTGCAACTTTATTCTTCTGAAAATGGTTGACATTCCCAAAGTTTGGTCTTTTTTCCTTCTTGTTGAACTTCTTAGTGCCATCAAGTAGTGGAGAGTGTGAAACCGAACCTCTTTCTTTTAGAAAATCCATCCCTGCTATAACAGACCAACTCTCAAAATCTCACCAAACAAAGGGTTAGTGAACCGATCTGATACTAATTGTTAGGTTCGTTTTTATCCTGGTGTCACAAGTGGTGTTGCAACACTTTACTGTAACACTGTTTTTAACAGTAAATCTGAAATTAAACCAGCAAGGCAAAATGCAGGAAAATAATACAGGAATCTAAAGAATACCAGAAAAATGATATCGCAGTTCGGTGCGCACACTTACTCTGTGGGGCCACACCCAGACAATGAACAATCCACTAAGTTCAAAGAGATTACAAACACCAATCAGACTTATACACCCAAAGACTCCCTCCTTAACGTTGTCGCTGTCGTATCGAATCTCTTTAATGGCCTTATCCAGCGAGCACCACTCGTCTTCAAAACTGCAAGGCGAAATCCCTTCGGCTGGTAGTGTGCTTTCTCCCGAAAGCTTCTAATCTTTCTCCCAAATGACGATCTTCAATCAACACATAAAGACTCACTCTCTCATAGACTTTTTTTAAATATTTCTTCTATAAAAACCATGCCCTAAATGTATCCTTTGATTACCCAATATTCTTTTCAAGGCACACCCACTCACATACACAACTTATGTATATATAGTAAAGTTGCTCATGTGCCTACCCTTGTGAAGTATGTGAAAATCACATCAATATGAATCATATATCTCCACAAGATTAGCTTCACGCAATTAGCTTATCACACCAATACAAATCTCTAGCTCTCATGCAAGTTAAGTTTCCAATAAACAATTCTCACATAAAGACCAACGTCTCTCCTATTTTCAGCCCTTTTCCTTCTGACTTTCAGAAACAAAAACCACCCAACGTATATCCCTTTTTCCACACATACAACCATGCTCTAGCTTGCAGATTATAAGCAATCAATTCCTCCCAAAATTCCACTCTTCATTTTCAGCAATCAAATCCTTTTATTTGCATCTCATAAACATGACAACAAGACTTTCCTTAAGAGGCTCTCCTATTTGCTGTGCCAGCCAAGCTTCCAGCCAATTTGCAACCAATTTGCCAAAAATAGTTTTCAACCAATTTGTCAAAAAAAAGCCAATGTAAAAATGCACTAACAGATAATTTATTGGATTAAGAAACTGTTCATTTTCAATGTAAAACCATAGTATAGAGTAGTAAATGTAGAGGTTAAAACCCAGTGTGCAAATCCTCTTAAATAAAGTGTTTTTGAATTTGTAAAGAAAGGTTAAGGTTCTGTTGTAGCTGTTTCGACATCTGGGGTTTCGGTTCGAATTTTATGCTTTCAAAGGTTTTAAATATGTTCCTTAGGATTTTGAATATTAAGTGTTCTAAGTGAATCATTTTTCATGATGCTGATAAAGTTTTCTCACACAAAAATGATGGTTCTGTTTAGTTTTATTTAGATTAGTGATATAAAAGGCATTAGTTGTGTCGTTTGGGGCTCAAATACTGCTACTAGCACGGAGAAACCGATCGAAAAAGATGTCTTCATTAACCATGGTATGTGTCTTTATCTTCCTAGCCTCAATTATGAATCTACTATTAGCACAAATAGGTTGAAATTTTAAAAAGTAGTAGTTTTTGATAATTTGGTTAAAATAACTGAGTGAAAAAGTAAAATTAAGAAAATGACTTTTTAATTTTAATTTTATTTATTTCTCCTCCCGTCAGAATCAATGGCAGCACTTCTGCAAAATCAAACACCAAGACCAGACACTTCTCCATTTCTCTCTCTTCTTTTCTTTCTCTCTATTCTTTTCTTTCTCTTTCTCTCTCTATTTTCTTCAACCTTTTTGGTAGCTTCCAATCCAAAAGCAAAGCACTCCAAACAAAGGAAAAAGTGTAATCAAACATCTTTCTCTCGCTCCTCAATCATTTCTGCTAGTCACCACTGTGGTTGAGGATTTGAAATCGAGATTGAGGAGCAAAAAGAAAAGACAAAAAAAAAAAAACAGAAAAATCATTTTACAAATAAAAATTTTTGAATTGTCATTTTATGAATAAAACTTTTCTATTAGGTTATTTTTATAAATGCCTCGTAATTTTCACACATTATGATTGTGACAGAAAATAAAAGCTATAATATATTAGAAGAAATTTTTAATTAAAATATTATACAAATAGATCTATATAAACTAATCTTATAGTATAAAAATTTTTAACTTTTCATATAATATAATAATATTTTTCACAACAACGTACAGATTTTTAATTAGTATTTATCTAAAAAGTTAATAAATTATTAGTATTAGATATTAAATAAATATTAGGAAATAATTTATGTTTGAAACAGAAAGAAAAGAACGTTTTAGTCAGACTTAACTTTGTTCTTCATAAAAAATAAAAAGGATCATTTTATCAATTTCATTTTGTTAGTCATTTTAAGCATATTTCTCCATTTACCTTTACTTTCTTTTGAGATTTTATTTTCCCACCAAATTTCCCAATTCTGAAAACGCAAACCCTAACTCTCTCAGGTCACTTTCTTCTGTCAATCCGCCGTGCTTCCGCCGTGAGTCTGCCTCCGACGGCTCGTGCTCAACCAGTGTTGCGACATTGAAGGCCACCGGTCTTTGGTTCGTTTGCTTTTCCTTTATTTGTTCGTTCTCAATTTCAATTTGTTTTGGTATTTATTGCAAAGTACGTTCCTTTTTCTTTGGCCTTAAAACAGTCGGTTAATTCTTCCCATGAAGTTCCAAACGAATGATCGTGTATTAGGTTGTTTGTGGTTGTGGGGGAATATACTCGGATCCTGATCTGTTCATATTATTATTTCTATTTTTTTTTTCAATTTTACTTTTTTTGAGATTTTAATAACGTGCTTTGTTGATTAAGACTAAGTGATGTGCTGAACGAATTGTAGGCGGGCTTAAGCAAATGGATGATTACCAAGAACTGGAGAGATTTGGGATGGACAAGGACTTTGAGGATGGCCAGTGGATTGGTGGGGAGTTCTACTACAGCAAGCGCAAGGAGAAGCCCCTCCAGACCAAAGACGACGTGCTCTACGGCGTGTTCGCCGAAGACGAAGAAGACGATGACTATGGCCACCCTTCGTCTTCCTCTAGAAAGCGCCGCAAGGACCACCGCGAGGCTGACCTCAGCAAGCCTGTGAATTTTGTGTCGACTGGCATCGTCATGCCCACCCAGGAGATTGACAACCACTCCAAGAGAAATTACGATGGGCCTCCCGGCCTTGGTTTTGGGTCTTCTGCTTCTGCTGCTGCTTTAGACAAGGAAAACGACAGCGACTCTGTTGAAGCTGAAGCTGCGGCTGAGGCTGAAATTGAAGAGGAGTTCTTGCCCACTGCCTTTGGGAAGAAGATAATTGAAGGAGCTCAGAAAAGAGAGAAGGAAAAGCAAAGGCTTAAACTGGAGAACAAGTCTCAGTCCCAAGGAGGAGGGAGACGTCAATCTGATTCCGGGGCCGCCGTCGGGGGTTTTGAGAAACACACGAAAGGTATTGGGATGAAGCTGCTTGAGAAGATGGGATACAAAGGAGGGGGTCTTGGAAAGAACGCGCAAGGGATTGTTGCTCCCATCGAAGCAAAGTTGAGGCCCAAGAATATGGGAATGGGCTATAATGATTATAAGGAGGCTGAAAAGTTGCCAGAGCTGGAAGAAAAACAAAAAGCGTCCAAGGCTTTGCTTGAATTGGGGGGAAGAGCGAAGAAGGAGAAGCTTTGGTCAAAGCGAGCACTGCCTGAGCAAAAAAATAGGCAAGATTACATGACGGCCGAGGAATTGTTGGCTAAGAAGCAGGAGCAGAGTGGTGGTAGTGAGGTTGTTGTTCAAAAGGTGTTCGATATGCGGGGTCCCCAAGTTCGGGTCTTGACTAACTTAGAGAGTCTGAATGCC